AACAAGCAGGAGTCCCACAGGAGAGTCAAAAGGAGAGCCTGGAAGGAATTACGGCATGGTCATACTTCTGTGCAGACTGGTAAGTGTTCATACAAATGTTCGTTTTTCATATGGGAGAGGGCGCATTGGATTTGTGAACCTATATGGATGAACTGGGTGCATGAATTGACGAATAAACGAGGTTCTTCTAGGTGTTTTATTCTCCGTTAAACACAACTCTTTATTATGATATTCACGTATCTTCAGATATTTTGACACTTGCATGCCGTTATCGGACCTTATATTTTCATGACGCACTGTAACTTATGTATTGTCAAGTATTAAATATTTTACAACGTATACACAACAAATATATATATTTTTGACACTTTCGGATTATGCCTGTTCCAATTCAGAATTACTTTTGAAATTCTAAATTACTTTCGATATTTGGTGGGACTCCTTGGATGAGTGATTAGCCCGCCCCAAGGCCTGTAAGCACACAGGACAGCACACCACAAAAATACGCAGACAAACATCCATGCCATGAGTTCGACTCGAACCAACGGTCCCAGTGTCAAACTGAACAAAAGACCCACGACTCATACAGCGCGGTCACTATGTTCCAGTGTTAAAATTACATTAAATATTAAAATTAACGTTGATGGGTTGTTTACAATGCGTCCATTTTATATATCTTTAAATGGCCATATTTCTGGTTATATTTTGTGAATGTGCTTTGTGATTGTTTATATTTGTGTGTTCTTTGCACTGTGAATGCCATTTTATCCTACACACTAGTCAGCTTGGTATTAGGATAGAAATGTTTCTTGTAGCAGAAAAAAGTCCATCGCTGGAGGCAGATAGGAGTTTCCAGGTTCTGCAGCACATGGCAGGCAACCCAGAATGTCTGGGCTATCTGCTGAGAGGCTTGCTGACTCATATCTCCTCGCTGCTGCTTTTGCTGCAGAAATTAAACGAGACGACGCTGCATCGCAGTATGGCAGCCCTCCTGCACAACGTCCTCAAGGTACCGTGAGACAAGACGTTGATATGATCTACTGTAGCGACCACATTACTTGCGAGTTCCTGGCACCTGTACGACACACCGCCAGACGCTACAAGATATTTCCGATACGAGTCAAGTATCGATCAGTATAAACGATAAAAAGAACTTACCTGCAGAAGTGCTGAAAATGTTAAAGGATCTTCCAATTTACGTTGCACAGAAACTAAGGTTAGTTAGACTGTGCAGATATGTAAGATTGTACGATCCCTAAACGATTTTGAAATGTAAACAGCCCATATATGGAGGATCAGAGAAATCCTTGATTATCTTACTGTTTTAACTGTGCGTGTAGTGGAAGAGTGTCGGATTTTTAACGGATTTTTCGATTTTTGTTGAGGGTTCATAAAAGATACTTTTATGTATACTGAATTTAAGAATAAAATGGAAATCACGAGTTACAATTAAAATATAAAAATAAACTTTTCGCCTTTATCTTACGATGTTCTTTATTGAAAGATATTTGGCCAAAGTTTCATTTCTCTGTACTCTATTAAGAGCTGTTGAAAGAAAATATGCACGCTCATCTTTCTCAGACTGCCATTGAAACATACGGAAGTCCCCAGCAACCTATGGAATCCGAAGAAAACGCTACTTTGCGTCGCAAGGAATTAAGTGCCGCCCTGTGTCTTCTGCTCAAAGTCTGCCTCAGTCTGATCCACGGGGTGCATGATCTCCAGTACACAGCCATGGTCACCATCAACAAGGTGATAGACGCTTGTGTTGTTTACCGCCTCGCCCACGTCAGGGTAATGGCGTCGGGAGCTCTGCGGCATCCTTGCAGCGAAAGGTAAGACCAGTCTGCGATACACTTCTGAAAATATACCGAGCATCACAGCAGCAGCTTCTGTTCCGAATTCATTATTTGCTTACGCTAAAGCGTAAATGAGATCGTTAAGTTACTTCGTTAAATTTTATCTGTGGCTGATCTACCAGGTGATTCAAAAAGGACTTTACAACTTTGAAAGTGTATAGAACTTTATTCAGAAGGCTTGCAGAATCGGTTGAGTTGTCATTTTGTAGTAAAACAAATCAAGTTTGACTCACGTTGTACTGTAGTACCGAATTCCGTCACCGCGAGGGCAAGCGGCAGTGCATTTGAAAATGGCTCGAAAATTTTCTCATACCTCAGTTAGACGAAGATGACCAAAAAGGACGCATTCACTTCCAGCAAGACGGCGCACCACCTCACTACCTCACAGAAGTCCGGGATTTTCTCAATAACCGTTTCCCAGGTCGGTGGATTGGTCGAACAGGGTCGATAGCATGGCCACCTCGTTCTCCAGATTTGACACCTCTCGATTTTTTCTTATGGGGATTCATTAAAGATCGTGTGTTTGTTCCACACTTACCTGCCAATCTCACTGAGCTCAAAGCTCGAATCACCGCCGCAGTTGCAGAAGTGACACCGGATATGCTGGATCGTGTTTGACAAGAAATTGATTTCAGGTGGGATGTCTGCAGTATCACCAATGGCAATCACATCGAACCAAAATGACTGTTTGAGGTACAACTTGATTTGGTTTGCTACAAAATGACACCTCAACCGATTCTGTGAGCCTTCTGAATAAATTTCTATACACTTTCAAAGTTGTAAAGTCCTTTTTGAATCACCCTGTAGTTCATAGGCCGTTTTAACTGATTGAAAATGGTTAAGCGACTTGTTTCTACCGCTGTTTTGTTTCTTCCTGTTATTTAATGCTTAAAACGATCACAACGGTAGATAGTAACAGTACCTTTCAACAGGACTGTAGACTCACAAGTCTGTTATAATAAATAGGCATTTGTTAGTCATACATCAGTAGATTCGGCGTAAAATTGCTCAGGTCAGGGATTTGCGACATAGGTTGATTTTTATATGACGGTGAAAAACCCAGGGTATTATAACAGTAGGGAATTTCTTGATCAGTATGATTTGTTAACTTTTAAATAATTACGTGAACTGTAGGGACAATTAAAAATATAATATTTACAGTACAATTTTAAGTCTGTAAGGTGCTTGCATATAAGAATCTAGTTTTGTATTTTACTTCCAAACTGTGCTGACTTGATTTACCAAGCCGAGGACTTTAAAATCTCTCCAGAAGATTAAACTAAATCCCATTCCACTAGGATTGTGTTGCTCGAAATTCAAGCTCCCAACAACATACTTGAAAATCCGAAAAAATCACTCCGTTAACGTCTCTTTGGTGAATGCTGTCACATTCCCCATTCGCCTCCCCCCCCCCCCGCAACGGCTATACAGACTTAATTTGTCAACTTATCCTGACATTTCAGTGATACTGACTGCTTTAATGTCAAGGCTAAACTTGGAAAGATCTGGAGGCTTCACAGTTGAAATATCCGTGAGAATTGAATAATTGCTTATTACGTATTGCATCGCTCAGAACTTTAACTCTCTCAAGCACTGGTTACTGTAAATATATCCACCTATTTCTTATGTACGTAACAACGGAATGCATTTTATAGGTTTCGTATGATTCTCAGGATAAAAAATCTCTTATTTCCCAGAACACCATATGCCACCCACTGTTTGTAATTGAAATGTTTTCTTTGAGGTGGGAAGCGAACTATTACCGAGATGAAATTCGTGCTTCAGAAATATAAGTTATGTAAAATTGAAGATTTCTGTCTTCTGGGTTATTGCGCTGTGTAGTCTGGTCGATGTTAACCAACGTTTCAGAGGTCATACTGCCTCCGTCATCAGGGCGATGAATATGCCAATAGG